AAGAAATGCTCAAGATCATCAGCCATTAGAGAAATGTAGATCAAAACTACAATGAGATATCATCTCACCCCAACAAGGCTAGCATTAATCCAAAAAACACAAAATAACAAATGCTGAAGAGGTTGTGGAGAAACTGGAACACTTATACACTGTTGGTGGGAATGTAAAATGGTACAGCCACTTTGGAAAACGATTTGCCGCTTCCTTAAAAAGCTAGAAATAGATGTACCATACGACACAACTATCCCGCTCCCTGGAATATAACCTAAAGAAACAAGAGCCGTCACACGAATAGATATATGCACACCCATGTTCATCACAGCACTGTTCACAATAGCCAAAAGATGGAAGCAACCTATGTGCCCACTGACGGACGAATGGATAAACAAACTATGGTATATCCACACAATGGAATATTATGCAGCGATAAAGAACAGTGATGAACCTGTGAAACATCGTATAACTTTGTGGAAGCTGGAACTTATGCTGAGTGAATTTAGTCAGTCACAGAAGAACAAAGACTGTATAAGACCACTATTATAAGAACTCAAGAAAAGGTTTAAACACAGAAGAAAACATTCTTTGATGGTTACGGGGGTGGGGAGGGAGGGTGAGGGTATTCACTAACTAGATAGTAGATAAGAATCATCTTAGGTGAAGGGAAGGACAGCACACACTGCAGGGGAAGCCAGCACAACTGGACTAAACCAAAGCTAAGAAGTTTCCTCAATACAATCAAATACTTTGAGAGACAAAGTAGCAGGCATGCGGGGTCTGGGGACCATGGTTTCAGGGGACATCTATGTCAACTGGCATAACAAAGGTTATTAAGAAAATGTTCTGCACCCTATTTTGGTAAGCGGTGTCTGGGGTCTTAAAAGCTTGCAAGCGGCCATCTAAGATGCATCAATTGGTCCAAACCACTTGGAGTAAAGGAGAACGAAGAACACCAAAGACACAAGGAAAGTACTGGCACAAGAGACAGAATGGGCCACATAAACCAGAGACTTTATCAGCCTGAGACCAGAAGAACTAGATGGTGCCCGGCCACCACCAATGAACATCCTGACAGGGAACACAACAGAGGGTCCCTGATGAAGCAGTAGAACAATAGGATGTAGAACTCAAATTCTAATAAGAAGACCAAACTTAATGGTCTGAGACTGGAGGCGCCCTGGAAAGCATGGCCCCTGGTCTGTCACCCCAGAACTAAAACAATTTCCGAGGCCAACTCTTCAGACAGGGATTGGACTGGACTGTGGGACATAAAGTGATACTCATGAACAATGTGCCTCTTAGACAAGTAGATATAAGAAACCAAAGGGGCGGCTTCTGTCCAGAGGTGAGAGGGGAAGGCAGAGAGAGTTAGGAGCTTGTTGAATGTTCATGGGGAATCAGGGGCAGAGGGGAGGAGTGTGCTGTCGCAGAATGGGGTAAACGGTTGGGGTCTCATAACAATGTATGTAAAAAAAAAAAATTCTGTATGGGAGACTAACTTGAAATGTAAACTTCATTTAATTACAACAATAAAAAAAAGGGGGGGGGAATCCCTCTGTGTTACATGACCGCCCCAAAAAAGAATCTTATAGAACCTTAAAAATATCATTTGTGAATAACAATTAATGGTCATAACTGTACATGTAAATGCTGAAGATTCGACTGATTCCGATCTCTCCCACTTACTAGTCCTCTAACTCGAGGCTTGTCAGCCTGGGAATCATTTCAGATGATTGCTGCAATGAATAAATGATTTATGTGCCAAAAAAAAAGAACACACATGGACTGCACAAAGCAACACGAAAGGCACTCTGGCTGAAGTAGGTTTGTGAAGATCAGTTAAAAGAAAATGAGACTCAAAGGGGTCCTTCCTGTTTCTAACCATTCCCATCGCCTGTTTATGGGGAAAAGAAAGTTATCCTATGTAACACCTTCTTAAGCAGAGCAGGCTGTCACTGTCAGGATATGAGGGACTTGACAAAGAGGTAGATACAATATAGGACACCCAGTTAAATCTGAATTTCAGATAGACAACGAATCATTTTTTAGTATAAGGAGGTCCCAAATATTGCACGGGACCTCCTTATACTAAAAAATCATTTGTGTTTTTATTTACTAAATATGGCAATTCTACCGAAAGCATCTCCAACCTACAACTTGTAGCAATAAGAATACGTAACCACAATGACTCTTTTCCACAGAAAAGAGTTCACCGCCAAGTTTTTAATAAACCAGGTGCTGTCAGTCAATTTCGACTCATGATGACCCCACATGTGCATATGTGTTAAGAGTAGAACTGTGCTCTGTAGGGTTTCCAATGGCTGATTTTTCTGAAGTAGATCGCCTGGCCTTTCTCCCCAGGTGCTTCTGGGTGTACTCAAACTGTCAAAGTTTCATTGCACCACTCAGGGACTCCAAGTTTTTAATAGTTTCTGTCTACAGGAGGGAAACCCTGGTGGCGTAGTGGTTAAGAGCTCTGGCTGCAAACCAAAAGGTCGGCAGTTCGAATCCACCAGGTGCTCCTTGGAAACTATATGGGGCAGTTCTACTCTGTCCTATAGGGTTGCTAATGAATCGAAATCAACTCGATGGCAAGGGGTTTGGTTTGGTTTTGGTATACAGGAGCAGGTCCAGGCCCTCATTAATTTTAGCCTAGAAATAGCATGACATGTAAAGAACAGCGTCTACTAAGATACAAAAGCTGTTTATTCTATCTCTGTTTGCTCTAAAACTACGTTTTGGATTCAGAACTTCTTAGGTTAACTGGCTGCCAAGCTCCCAGAAAGCTGACAAAATTTCTAGAAAATTTTAGCATGTGTGAATTCCTAACGTTCTTTTAGGCACCATTTTTTACTTCATCTCAGATTTTTATTTTGAGTTTGCCAAGTTACCACTAAAAACTAAGTTGCAACTGTTAAAGTTTAACAAAAAGACAAAGGAGATGAAAACAGCAAATGTAGAAAATCAAAACTTACAATCTGACCCTCAGTTCTTTCTTTGGAATTTTCCATAATACCACCATTAAAAATAAATTTTCATTCTCATTCAAAAGCACTTCATTAGCGTTTTTTCTGGATCGTGAATGTGCCAATAGAGCTTTCACTGCTTTTTTAACCTGCAAAGTGGACAAACAAAATTAAGTTAAATCTCAATCTAATCTGACATTTGCTCCCTCTCGTTTCTTGTCCTGACTTCTATTTTAACAGGCAACCTCGATAACCATACCTATTAGGAACCAGCAATTTGTACTCAGAGGAATGTAAGAATGAATGGGAAATCACCTAAGTATCCGCCTCCAGCCCTCGACTACAGAAAGGCACCTCTTCTACATAAAACACTGGGCCAGATAGAAATATGCTTCCCGTGCCCTCAACAGTGAAGGAGGTAATCCCAGTAAAAGAGTATACTGAAAGGGGATGCGTGGAAATTTCACATTTATTGTTTATTGCCAACAGTACAAGCCTAGCGTCCTGGCTATTGTGGTACTGTTAATGCCTAGCTTGCATAGTTCACCTTTGCATACTCCCATGATTTTAATTTGTTTTCCTCCTATCCCCTCCCTCTTGCTTTCCCATGACTCTGAAGTTTAACTAAGTTTCTCTTTGAGAGGTAGAACGACCTTGGAGAGTAAAGTAACTCATCTGCGACAATAAAAACGGTGCAAGATAACCTTCAAGGACTGCCAGGTGCAGAATATAACCATCACAAAAAAAAACTATAATCTTGTCCGTATAAAAACTTTCAGCGGGTCTAAGAGGGAGACAGGTCTTTTGGAGCAGCTCATTCCCCTCTGTCTCATGTATACTGATATACAATAAAACACTCTTGCTGCTCACCTCACCCGTCTCAGTATTGGCTTCCGCGGCAGGCGGCTCAGACCAGCCAATGCGGTAACAATACAAACTGCAACTAGCTACTGAGCGCTCAGAACGCGCTAGGCCCCTGGCTGAGGCGCTTTACTTGCGTTATCATCTTATCTGATCCTGGAAAGCGGAAAGCCGAAGAGCCCGTTTTAAATAAGACACAGTAGGGGTTAGCAAAATTAAGTGACTTGGCTAAGGCCAAACGGTTAGGAAGCAAAGCCAGGTCTCTCATTCCAGACCTCGTTAACTTGCGATCCAGTTAAAGCGAGCCAGGCCGCAGGACGGGGAAGAAGACGCCCAACCGCGAGGATAAACGAGAGGGCACGGTGAAGCGCTCAGCGAGCAAGCGATTACCCCAAATCCCCCGGAGGCGTCCACAGAGGTGCGCCAGGCCCCCGGCCACGCATCAAGCTCCACTGCGCCTCAGAAGGGCCACGGCCACCCAGCTTCTGGACCGCCCTCCCCGGGGGCCACTCACCTGTATTTTGTCCAGCTCCAGCCGCGACTCCGCTGCGGCCGGGGTCACTGGAGTCGCGGCTGAGGTTGGAGTTGAAACCGAGGCCTCCATACCGCCCTAACCTCGTGCACACTAGCGTGCGGAACGACTAGACTAACTCCTCCTGCGCACGCGCGAACCCAAGCCCGCAGCCAGAAGTAAAGGGGCGGCAACCGGGCCCGCTTGCATCACTTCCGGGAGAGCGCGAGGTTCAGTTCCTGGGCTTTGCGGTTTAGCAGTGGGGCTGAGGCGAGTTGACTGACTTTGTTCCCCCTGGCTGCTGTCGGAGTGCCTTTCTTAGGACACACTCCTCTCTTTCCGTTCTGCTCCCGGTTTCTATGAGGCGCGGAGAGTAGCCTGGCGACACCTCTCAGTCTAACACGAAAGAAATCGAGAAAGCGCCTTGAGGCGGGAGAGGAGTCTCGTCGGCCGATGCGGTGGAGTCACTCCTTCTCGCCGGGCCCCGTCTCTGGAAGGCCGCGTGGGGCTGTGAGGAGAATGCGGGCTCTGGAGTCACGCAGGTCCGCCCGGGATCCTGGCTCCACCACGTACCTACTGTGTGACGTTGGGCGAACCGCTTACGCTTCCGAGCTCGTCTCCTCAAACGCGAAGAGAACGGTCATGCCTCCTCACGGGGGACCGAGGACTCAGTGAAGTAACACACGGGAAGCACCAGACGCGTCGCTAAGCTGTGTGAGGGGCCGAAAGATGAACCGACTCGGTCTCCCAGAGGTGGGAGGTAAGAGCATAGACGAATAAGTGTGGAGACTGCGTAGAAGGCCTCCTTCCCTCCTCGGGTCCCCATCTCCCTGTTGTAATCCCCGGAGGTAACCACTGTTAACAGTTTCTCCAGTAACCTTCCAGAGATGTCCTAGGCGTGTTGTGGAAATATTTATACTTTTTCTCTTTATAGATCGTTGGATTTGAATTTCATCCTTTTTCCCCCTTCTTAAACATAAATAGTACTAAAATATACTCATAGTTGTGCGCCTTCCTTTTTCCTCTTACTGTATCTTGGAGATTGTTCCCAGTCACTCATCTATTTCAATGGCTGTATAGCATTCCACCATGTAGATATACTGTAGTTTATTTAGATATCTTTTGATGGACATTCAGGATGGTTCCAGTCTTTTTTGCAGCTGGCTAAGTAAAATTTTTATGAAAGAGTGGGAGTAGGAGGCTTTCCATGTCAACTATTTTGAAAAAGTACTCCTTCCCTATTTCCCAAGCTGGAAAAAGAGGTGTTCTGCTGCTAACCTCTAATAATGGCCTTGTCTTTAACCACTTTTTAGAAGAAATGTTCTTAAATCTTTGGCACCTACTTTCATTTGTTTATTCTAGAATCTATTATAAAATGGAATTAGATTTAGCACAAAATTATGAATATTTACATTAGGTTTGGTGTATCAACATTTTCCAGTATTCTCAAAAGAGCATTGGGCTGGCAGATGCTCTGTCACCTGAATGAGTTTAAGAATCGGACTTCTAGGCCATGGAAACTGCATGAATTCAGGTGAAAGAATGCGGAAGTATTTGGAAAGGAATGGTGGCTGGAGCAGGGATATGCAGAGGGGAGGGATGGGAGGTGGAGGTAGAATGATAGGTCAAGGAATTGATTCATTATCAAGCTGAGGGTTTATACTTACTTTGGAGAAATCATAGAAACAGAAGAGGTTGTGTGTGTGTGTGGGTGTGTGTGATAGTGGTGCAGTGGTTAAGAGCTTGGCTGTTAACCAAAAGGTTGGCAGTTCAAATCCATCAGCCACTCCTTGGAAACCCTATGAAGCAGTTCTACTCTGTCCTATAGGGTCGCTATGAGTTGGAATTGACTTGAAGGCAACAAGTTTTGGTTTGTGGTAAATATATAGGTAACAAAATATTTGCCATTTCAACAATCTTTACATGTACAATTCAGCGACATTAAATCTATTCAGTTCACTTATCACCATTAACTGTTTCCAGACTTCTCCATCACCCTTAACAGAAGCTCAGACACAAAGCTTTTGAACCTGTGATAAGGAAGAAAAGAAGGTAGTGTTGAGTTATGCTTTTGGAGTTACTAATCTGACAGTGGTATTGTAGTTCTTTTAAAGATATGTCATATGTCTACAATCTCTTTGATACTTCTTCATTTAAGCAATGGAGTTTAACTCCCCTCTCCTTGAGTGTGGGCTGGACTTAGTGACTTGCTTCTACCAAATAAAATATAGAAGTGATGGAAAATGGGATGTCACTTCCAAGACTAGGTTACAAAAAGACTGCAGTTTCTCCCTTCTCTATTTTTCCCTTCCTTTCTCCTTTCTTCCCTCCCTCAAGTCAGTTGGTCTGGGTGAAGCCAGCTACCATGTTGTTGAGGATACTCAGGCAGCTTATGGAGAAGTCTATGTAGCAAGGAAACCAGCAACCATATGAGTGAACATGGAAGTGGATCCTCTTCCAGTCGAATCTTGAATCCTCTCCCAGTAGAATCTTGAGGTGACTGCAACCTCATGAGAGACTCTGAGCCAGAACCATCCAGCTAAGCTGCTCCCAGATTCCTGACTCACAAAATCTGTGAGATAATAAATGTTTGTTATTTTAAGCCAGTAAGTTTAGGGTAAATTGTTATCCGTCAACACATAACTAAAACAGATTTATAGACCTCCCATCTTTAAGCCTATATATCCAACTGTCTAAAGGATTTCTCCATTTAGAAGTCCTACAAGGACCTCACACACAATTCCACTCATGAGCTTATCATCTTCCCCTCAGACCTGCTCCTCTTCCCATGTTTTCTTTCTTTCAACTGCCTAGTTGTTCAAGCCAGAATATGAGAGTCATCCTTCTTTCCTCCCAATTCCCCATATGTAGTCAATAAAGTCTTGTTTATACCTTTTAAATATCTTATGCATTTATCCGATTTTTTTTTATCCCTGCCACCCTGTAGGGCAGGCTATCATTTGTTTCTTTTTTTTTTTGCCTAGACTACTGCAGTGGCCTCCTAACTTGTCTTCCCACCTCCAATTTTGCACCTTATAGTCTGTTCTCCACCCTTCAGCTGGAGTAGATTTTCTGAAATGCAAATCTGATCATATCAAACCTGATCATGCTTAATTCTTATTCTCTTTAGGAATAGTTTAAGCCACTGAGTCCTTAATTTGCCTTAGATGTATCCTAGTTTGCATCTGTTGTCTTGGTGTCTTTTCTGATTTAACCTTTGTCCTAGACAAAAGTTTCCCAGTTTGAAAAATAAATTATTTAGTCACCCTCAGCAGGCCATGCACTTTTCATCTGGTTCTGCCTTTATTACCTCCCCAGATTCATACGCTGCCACTCACCTTTTCAGTTTTTAGCTCGTAGTTTTAACTATGCAGTTCCCACTTGTCTTCAGACCTTCTAACACAACACTGTTACTTCTGGAACACTACTACTTTCTTGTACTTCCATCTCCCACCCCTAAATAAACTTACTTATCCTTCTGACTTCTGCTTAAAGTTACTTCTGGAAAATTCTAGCTTAGGTTCTCCCTCCTCCCAAAAAACATTAAAAATTTTTCTACCATTAATTGTCTTTCCCCAGTTTGAAGATAAACTGTGAGAGGGCAGGGACTCTGTATGATCTGTTCAGCATTGTATCCTTAGCACCTAGCCCGTATATAACATAGTATTTATGTAATAATAATACATTGGAATGGCTGAGACAGGGCTTAGGGAGATGAGCAAGGGAAGCTATTGTGGTTTTCTAGGTATTGAGGTCTGATGCTAGGGTGTTGGCAGTGAGAACAAAATATAAGACTTGATTAAAAGCTGAATATACCAAGAGGAGAATTCAAAGATTACTCCCAAATTCTTGAGCCTGAATAACTGGGCAAATGGATGGTGGTCAGGATTTGGAGGGAAAGATATATGAGATTCATTCTCAACATTTTGAGTTTGAAGTTCCAATGTGCATCAAAATGAATCTGGAAGAGAGTGTTTCTGAACTACAGAAGGAAATTTGGAAGTCATCTTCATAAACGTGCTCATTAAAGCTGTGGAAATAAATGAGATTGCAAAGAGATACAGACAAACATTAGGGCTGTGGAGAAGCCCTCAATTAGGGAAAAGGAGGGAAAAAAGCCAATAAAAGAGACAGAAGTAGTTGAGTGTATAAAAGAAAACCAGGAGGGTCCCATGTTCCAGCAGCCAAAGGAATGGAGATATTTGAGGATGTGTTAATACTGACAAATACTGAAGAAATTGAGAATATATATTGATAAAAGGCCATTTTGTTGGGCAGTTAGGTCATTGGTGACCTTGTAGAAAGCAATTTCAGTGAAAGGATTATGAGTAAGGTGAGTGATGGGAGAAAAATGGAACATTGGTATACTTAAAAAATTTTACCACTAAGGCAAATGAACTGAATGAAAGTATTTGTGTCCCAGGGAATTTGTTACAGTACCAGTTCTTTTAAATATTAGCATCTTAACATATCAGTAGCCTGACTCCTGACTGAACTCTTAAACCAGAAATCAGAATTTTTTTTAAATAAAAATGCCCTAACTTATAAATTAAGCTTGTATAAATCATAAGTTTTAACCATTTACTGCTTATTCTTATGAATTTGGGCATGATTATCACTGTTTACATTGAAGTGAAATGTTAAGAGGTCAAATATGGACATGGGATGAGTTAAGAAAATGTGCAACTAGCATTAAATGTGACCCAATGCACACTGAGAGGCAGAGGTTTTGAAATTTTAACAGAAGGATCGTATTACAAATAATTTTAATTGAATAACAAAAATTATACTTGTCAGCTACAGGAATTTTTTGTTTTCTTGTTTTAGGCATCTCTTATTTCTAGCAGAAAACGGGGAAAAAAAAAACGAACATTTCATGCAAGTAATTTGGGCATACAAAGCCTTCAGAAGAAAATTTAATTACAAAAAAATTTTCACTTTTAAGACCAGCATGTTGAAGTAGCCGTATAGAAAAAATTAAATACAAGGAAAAGTAAAATGGGACATCATAACTGTACATGAGTTTCAAAATTATTCATACAGCAAGTGGCCATAAAGCTAAAAAGAAATAACCTTGTCACTTAGGAGGGTACTACAATAAAATAAAAAATATTTTCCAGAACCTTTTTTTCACATGGCCAGAAAGGCAAAACTAGTTTTTAGTTCCTTTTAAATTTGGGGGACTTTAAAATTCTGTTTTACTGTCATTTGGCCATCCATAATTCTACATTGGGAGATATATATATAGTTGTTCATCACAAAGCTACAGCCGAGGTATTGATGCTATTTTTCCGTTTTAAGATGTGTTGATAGGAGGGCGCTGCAGTCTCTGAAACTGGTTGCATATGCCAAGAACTGTAAAATTCTCGATTGTGAGAACTACGAAGACCTTATTATTGGTATCTACCCATTGTAGTATAGTACCTATATATGGTTTGATGCCCAAAGACAACAAAGTTGTTCTTTCAACAACCCACATAAAGTACAGATGTTTGATTGGTGGGGTGGGAGACCTAGTCATTTAAGACTAGAAAATTGTGGTTAATTACTGGGAGAAAACACTGAAGTTGTCAAGAATTTCATTTTACTTGGCTCCATAATCAACACCCATGGAAGCAGCAGTCAAGAAATCAAACAACATTGTATTGGCAAATCTGCTGCAAAAGACCTCTTTAAAGTTAAAAAAGCAAAGATGTCACTTTGAAGAGTAAGTGGGCCTGACCCAAGCCAGGTATTTTCAGTTGCCTCATATGCATGCAACAGCTGGACAGTGAATAGGGAAGACTGAAGAAAAATTGATGTCTTTGAATTATGGTGTTGGCAAAGAACATTGAATATACCACGGACTGCCAGAAGAATGAACAAATCTGTCTTGGAAGTATAGCCAGAATGCTCCTTAGAAGGGAGGATGGTGAGACTTCGTCCTACATACTTTGAACATGTTATCAGGAGGGACCAGTCCCTGGAGAAGGACATCATGCTTGGTAATTAGAGGGTCAGCAAAATAGAGGGAGACCTTTGACGAGATGGATTAACACAGTGGCTGCAACAATGAGCTCAAATATAGCAACACTTGTGAGGATGGCACAGGACTGGGCAGTGTTTCGTTCTTTTGTACATAAGGTTGCTATAAGTCGGAACCGACTCAACGGCACCTAACAACAATTACTGGGAAGTGGTCACAAAAGCAATTTACTTAGAACTTTTAGAATTGAGCCCCTGCTTTGGTAGCAAGCTTGCTCACTAAGCTAAATCTGCTTTAATGTCAAACCCCAATACTAGAGAGTGATTACCAAAACTCTGGAGTGATAGTTTAAGCAGGAACTGATTCTAGCTCATGGATTAAGATGAGTGTACAGGAACGAACTGCTGTGCATTCATTTAACCACTGTTTAACCAGTTGTGGCTGAGTCGATTCTGACTCACGGTGACCTCTCATATGTCAGAGAACTGTGCCCAATAAAATTTTCAATGGCTGATTTTTCAGAAGTAGATCACCAGGCCTTTCTCCTGAGGTGCCTCTGGGTGGACTTGAACCTCCAACCTTTAGGTTAGCAGCTGAACACATCAACCATTTGCACCACCCAGGGACTTCCAACCACTGTGTATATTACCTGTTTATCATTAATATCTTTTGCCCTTGCTCAGTAAAGAAGGGCAAGTACTGTTTGGTTTCTTGATCTTTATTAAAAATCCTGAATATAGAGGTTCACAGTTCAGACAGAATAATCATTGATGTTCCCTAACTTTGCTGTTCAGATAAAACCACATATTGTGATACTTATTATTAAGCATTTCCAATTTCCTATAGGGCTGCTGTTTTTGTTATGGTTCAGTCATATACACCACACAAGCCTTGCATACCATATGCAAGCAGACCACAAGTTTGTAAATTCCTTACATGACAGCTTATCAGATCCAACAAATCTGCTGGTAGATGGTTCCAGTACTTGATACAAAAATAAAGGATTGTACAGAAAGTAGACAGATACACTCATGGTATAATGAAATATATCTGATTATTAACAAACAGACAAATTCTTCAAAAGGGAAGATGACAATTTTTATTATTACAAAAGCTTTTTTTTTCTAAATTTCAGCCATTTGAATAATTGCAAGAGCAGACTAAGGGCTTAATCCTCACACAGGCACCAAGTCAGGCACAGTAGGTAGCTACAAATCATAAGAAAAAAGGTTTCTTTACATCTGGATTCCCATTTTTTCCTGCTTTGGAATTAGGTTAAAAAACTTGTCAGTTCCCTTTAATCCGGTTTTAAAAAAAAAAGATAGCTCTAGGTATTATCCTGCTGTCTAATGAAAATTATTCACTAAATCCTGGCCTGAAAGATATCCCTATTTTCTTTAGAAGTAAACTGAAGAAAGTAAAGAAAGGGATATGTAAATTACTGAGAGCCCAAAGTGAGTCCTTAAAATGCAGACTTTCCAGGCTTAGACCTGTTTCACTTAATGTGAGTAGAGAAAATGGAGGTGAGGAGAATCCCCTGAGGTGTGCAAGAGCGCTAGCTCCAGCACACTCTCCACTGGTAGCAGGAAGGGAGGTAGCAAGGACTTGGGCTGACATCTGAAGCACTAGCTAATGTGCCTGGTGGAGGGGAACATCGGGAAGCAGAAAATGTCATTCCACCTTTGCTATCCACAAATCTCAGGTTTCCATGTTAGATTTTAAAGCGCATGTGTGACAAGGCAGAAAAGATGAGAAATCCTTATGAAATCCTGGCATTTTCTGCCCAGACATAGTACCTGTTTTTTCCCTTATACTGGAAAATACAAAGGTTTTAATCTCCACTCCCCACCTCTAGGACCTTATAACTCCTTAGTAAACAACTCAGCTAGCATTATTACTGTTTCAAGGAAGCATAGGATTAGAGGTTATGTGAAAAGTAAAATCTACCTTACCTGAATCCTTGCAGTAATTGTTTCAAACGGAATCCACTGTATTACTACTGGAAAAAAAAAATACTTCCTATTCCATTTACTGTGAAATCTAATATAACCAACTGACTGCTAAATGGAAACTTAAGTCTTTTGAGTTCTGCATATATAATTACACGTATTTATTTATAACAAGTTTCTGCCATTGGCAAGATCTCTGAAGAATGAAACAAGACCATGAATGTATTAGACAGTATTTGCTAGGATCACTGACAACTTAGCTGGAGGAAATGAAAGCCGTATTTGGAGAAAATCATCCCCCAAATCTAGTTGATTGCTATCTACCTTACATATGTCTGTGAGAGGATTAATGGCACAGTTTGTTCTGATAAGGTAGGCCAACACTGAATATAACATTTAATCATCCTATAATCAGAGCTATAGTGCTACGACCAGAATTTTCATAAAGGGTTTAAAGATTGAAAGTTGCCTGATGTTAAGAGCTGTAATAAAAACCGCGTATTTGTCCCTTGACTATCTCAACCCCTACCCAAAGCAGTTTCATCCATGAAGCGGCGTTCCATGAGGAAGTCCATGCCAATGAGAAAAGGTGCTGGAGTGCTGTCATGTGTAGTAGTCATCAAAGATCATGGAGTAATTAGTCACATAACTAGTGTTCCTGAAGGTCACCAGGGAAGTTTAGTTGATTATTTTCAAAAGTTCATCATGAGAGCAATTTTTGACCATAGGGTCACCTTTTCTTGGGTCACAAAACTGCACCTGATTGCAAATGTGACCCAAAATATTTGCAGCACTCCTGCCGGTAATTTTTCATTATATCATGTTCAAAGTCCCATATTGTAAAAGCAATTCTTGTAACTTAACTAGCAGACAAATATGAATGACCTCACGTTACAGTGAACAACCTGTCCTCTTACAATTTACAAAATTTGTACATTCAGTTATCACATATTTCAAGACTTTCAATTTAAAACAAAGAAATTTACATTGGCTAAATTATTCAAGATCGCCTTCCTATTTGTCATTTAATTTCATGGCAATACACTCAGTCTTCTGGCTTAAATTTACATAGGTTTTTGCTGGATAAGTCCTTTTTGCAAATTAAAAACAAGATACGGATGCTAGGTTTTCCCCTCTCCTGAAGTAAGAAATAAGGGCTTAAAATGGCAATTACTTAGATGTTTATTTCAATGACATCTGTTCTTCACTTGAATTCCGTTCATTAATTAAAAAAAAAACCTATAATCTTAATAATCTACCATGAAAATTATATAAAGAACATCATTAACTGTAAAAAGATGCACAGAAAACCATAATTCTAACATATCTGTGTTGAAGATAGAGAAAAATGTTGTCTATAATATCTGAAATATGCAGCCAACTACCCTACTTTTGCATTGTCTTCCATATAAATACATTTGCATGAGCAGAAGACAGAATGACAGCATAGGAATTTGTATTGCTCTTTAAAGGTCCAACGGCTCCACACACTGCCAGTTCACTTCAGTCATTTTTTTTCCTCATCCAGTAACTAGCCATTGTAACTAGGGGAGCTCTAAATGGGAATACTTCTGAAAGCCTGTAAAATGTATGGTATTGGTTAACTGGACATTAAAGTTTCTTTTAAACAACTCAATTACTATTTGCTCAAATCTGCAATAATCCAATGAAATTTTTATAATTACATTTGTATTTTTATTGTTATTTTTAGAGGTAGGTTCTTCACTGTTGATACCTGTGTCATCTTAAGAGTCTTGGCAACATGCACAGAATATTCTACAACTGTAAAGTGATTTAGTAGCAAACAACTAGTTTTTAAAAATGCGTTCAATTTAAAAATGGCAATCTATCTTTGGAAATTATTTCAGTGACTCTTCAACTGTTAAAAATTTGTTAAAATTCAAACAATTGCTAGTATTTTGTTGTTCTTAACTTGGAAGTACAAAAAGAGTTAGTATGTTCTGGTTAAAGCTCTCATATTTCCCAGGGAAAAAAAAGCCCAGATTTGCAGATGTAATAAAATTTATTTAAATTTCATGCAATTTAATAGCTGTAAGTATACTTACAGGAAGCTGCAGGACAGTAACTTTGCTCTGTCCATAAAATGTAGCCTCATTAATGAATGGAAATTCCATTGTTAAGGAAACAAGCTTAGATGGTTAAGTTTTTTGTTTTATGAATGGAAATAGTCTGACTAGGCTTTTCTTTTCTGAGAAGGAAGATTACAGGGAAGGAGGCTGTCATTAAATATACAATAACAGTATCTTATTTAGAGGTGAATCACAATCTAAAAGAGACCGAGTCTTCAATGAATGGCAACACTCGACTTCAAGGGGGCTTCCAATAAACCCAGAAATTGTCTCTTCCATTTCCCATTTATTTTCTCTAAAAATGTCAAAGTCATGATAGAGCAGAAAGTTAGTCTTCATTCTAAAAACCACAAGAATGCTGCAGTGCGATTCATCCAAACTACAGTTTAACAAACTTTAGTTTTGTACTTAAGAAAACTCAAGTCATTTCAGATAATTGAGATAAAACTTATACTGTGCTTGATTGTACTTAAATTTCAGTCTGCGCAAATTTTGATGATCCTAAATATGTGTTAATTTATTTGTTGGATTGAGATTTAGCTTTAATCAGGAAGGATTATTCAACTTTAAAATTACTGATACAAAGAGTAAACTGAGTAACTTACAGAACTGGCACTTGTAATTGTTACAGTTTTCATACTAGATGCATGCAGCTCTTACAAATACTAAAGGAGGCATTTTTGCCAGGTCTCAACATGCTTTCTTTATTGTAAATTCCACTGACTCAACGAGTTAATGGAATTTTCTGTGGGGATGCAATTTCATTATGCTTCACTTATAAAAACTACCGTATGCTGTTCTTCTATTTAAAAACAACTTACTGTGTTTAAGAAAGGTTAAAATATAAATTGGCAGAAAATCACTGATAGACCTAATAAGCAGTGTCACAGTTGCATCAAGGTATTTAACTGTATGTATGCATTAACCATCAAAAGAAAGGGTCTAACTAATTCTTTCCTTTAATACAAACTGGAACATTATTTGTAAATGCCTCATTTAAAGTAGTGGGTTGGGGAAGAGTTTAGAAAAGTCCAAGTAATAAAATGTATTCAGTTACTTGGGAAGTTAAAAAGCTAATGCAACAATGTTACATCCAGATAAAAAACATTATTCAAAAGCAATTCAAATACCGAAAAGGGTTTCAAATTGAATATTTTATTAACATGGTAGTTGTCTTTGTAACATGTGCACACACACTCGCACACTCAGAATGATCTGCCTGGGGAAAAGCCTAAATATGCCTAAGGGGATGATGAAAAATAAAAAATTTCCTGTAGGTTTTCATTATTGTAGGCAATTATGTCCACATCACTTACAAAGCTATTGCCAAATCTGTCCAAGGAAGCAGAGTTTGAGAGGGGAAGAAAAAAAATCTCGGGGAAAAAAAATTCAACAGTGGCATAGCAGAGCTCTCAATATGAGAAAGCTGACACAATGTGGACTTTTGCTGTGAATTTTGTTTTTGCAAAATAGGGGGAGAGATTTGTCAATGGGCAGAAATTAAGAGAAGGCGGTGTGAAGTAGGCTTTTGCAGTCAATTATCCTCACAGTATTGTGCAGGGTCATCAAGAAAATGCTTAGTCTTTCTCTGGAACCAGTTTCAGAACTTTTCCAATTGCAATGGTCTTACCTAGAAATAAAATTAAGAAAACAAACAAAAAAGCCTTTCAGTAGTTAACAGGAAGTCTATGTAAGTAAGGTATTAAAGCTTATTAAATTACAAAAATATCTTTTACAGTGTAAATTACAAATTAACTGACTTTACCACCGAAGACATTATTCTGATTAGGTAATCTTATTACAAGGAGTCCCTGGGAGCACGAATGGTTAAGCACTTGACTACTAGCCAAAAAGTTGGCAGCTCAAACCCAGTCAGAAGCACCTCGGAAGACAGGCCTGGCAGTCTACTTCTGAAAGGTCACAGTGTTGAAAACCCTGTGGAACAGTCCTACTCTGCATATGTGGGTTGCCATGAGTCGGAATCAACTCAAAGGCAACTAACAATGAAAGTCTTATTATAAAACTGGTAAACAAGTAATAAATTCATTCATAAACACTATCAACCTAAAAACTTAACAGAAAATTTAAAAATAAGTTTATGTATAAGTGGGTTTTTTTTGGGAGGAGCTGTAAAGAAGATATAATTTCCTATATAAAAAAATATATCCTTGGATAAGCAAAATGTAGAACATCCACAAAATGGAATACTATTTGGCAATTAAAAAAATGAAGTACAAGGCATGTTACAACACAGTTAAACCTCAAAAACGTTATGCTTCGTAAAATAAATGAGACCAGATGTTGTATGGTTCTATTTATATCGAATGTCTCAAAAAGGCAAAATTATATAGACAAAAGGTAGATTAGTGGTTGCCTACGACCAGGGGGGTGGGTGGGTGGTGGGAATAGGAAGTGACTGTAAATGGGCACGAGGCTTCTTTTTAGATGAAATGTTCTAAAATTAGATTGTGATGATGGCTGTACAACTCTGTAAACATACTACAATTTAGTAGACTGTATACTTACAACAGGTGAATTTTATGATACGTAGATTGTATCTCAATAATGCTTTAAAAAAATAAACCGATCCTAAGCAATTGAAAATATGAAGCAGATGGTTAATGCTGAACTGCAATGCAGTAAACACACCCTTTGGTCAGTATTTCTGTGGATCAAAAGGGCTCCTATTGGGTCTTGTGAAAAATGTAAAAACTAAGCTACCCTTTAGAAAAAGATAATTCTAGAGTTAAAAATTCTTGCTTTATTAATTTCTTATCTTCAAAATGCCTGATTTTATCAGGTTCTGATTGGTAACTGAAATTATCATTTTGCTGTATTAATTAGGAGAACCAATAACCAGTTTCACTATCAATTATCATCAAGAATAATTTTAATATAAGGTCTTTAAAAGTAAAATGAATATTATCTTTACACAGTTTTCTCTGAAGTAAGGTTAAGGGATCATATTCATCATTGTACTCCCAGTGCTTAGCACAGTTCCTGACACTTAATAGATACTTAGTAAATGTTTGTTAAATGGAATTGGATTTAACATGTGAAGTGACTATTCTATATTTGAATTGAGCGATAAAGTTTTATGTGTAAGGTTTTCTACCTTCTTAAAGTAGTTATCAAAGTTAGAAATACTAACAATCCATGAAGAAATTTTTAATAGTCTTTTTTTTCCACAATACCAAACGATTTCATAAACCCAAGTCAGGAAAATTACTGCTGTCCTGAAATCCTGGTGGCATAGTGGTTAAGAGCTACAGCTGCTAACCAAAAGGTCAACAGTTTGAATCCACCAGGCGCTCCCTGGAAACCCTATGAGGCAGTTCTACTGTGTCCTATAGGGTCGCTAAGAGTAGTAATCAACTCGATGGCAACGGGTGTGTAACGCTCAGAGACAGGTAGAAATGGGCACACACAAGAAAGAACATGAATATTAGATCTCTGAAAAAATTAAAGTGTGTGTGTATATATATGCACACGCACACATATTTACACCCCTAAAAAAGTGCAGTCATTGTTTATTAATGCTTGAAATTGTTTTTAATCACACAAATTACAAAGGATTTCGTCAGTGAAATGTCTTAATAAAATGGCTCTCAAAACCCACTACTAACAAAGCCTCAAAACTAAGATTCTTACTTCATCCAGAGCATTACTGTTAGAATGCACGGTCAGTACTATCTGCTGTTCAATTCATTCAACTCATAGAGCACTTATCATATAAATAAATTGTAGAACACAAATCCAAGTTCTCTCTGAACCTATTGCAATGTGTATTCTAGCAGGATCATGGTTAATAAAGCTAAGCATCGATAAGGCTCTTACCCTCATCTCTTAAGGTAAAACGACCCATCTGAGGGAAGTCTTTGAAGGTCTCAAGGCAGATGGTTCCTGCTGTTCTTAAACGAGCGATGCATACTTGGTCTTGTTTCACAAAACGGGGTCGAGTCTTACTTTTTTCTCCGGATTTTTTGTCTACCAAGCAGATTAAGGCCTATCCAAGAAAAGACGATGAGATGATCATACAAAAAAAGAAGATGTTAAGAATAGGAGTGCAAGCGGGTAGATTAACCAATAAGCAAGGTATGCACAGGCTTACTGGTGCTTGCTTACAAATCTGTAGTGCAGTTTCACCCATGGGGTGAAAAACTGGTGATAATGTGCACTACAGATTTGTAAGTAAGCACCAGTAAGCCTGTGCATACCTTGCTTATTGGGTCATCCATCCCCGAGTGCAAATAAGGTTACATCACTGTTGCCTATCAGAAATCACCAAGACGAAGCAGCCTTAAAACCAGGGAAAAAAATTATCTCAAAATGAACTCACTGTTATTTCGACTTCCTCAATACAGGTATGAATATGCAGCACCGCATTATAACCTGGGCAGATGATGGATTTGTGCTCAATAATCACTATCTGTCAAATAAACAAAACACCTCATCATTAGTCCTAGAGTAAAAAAGAACTGAATGTTCTAAAGTGCCATACAGTATCACCAAGAATGTATAACTCACCATCTAAGAGGGCACTGACTTCAGTTATTTTTGTGTTAAAAGTGACGGGTCATGTTAATTTTGATCATAGGATGGGTCAGGTTGCCTGACCTCAAAGCATGAACTTGAATACCCTCTACCCTACTGATCTTGGCAACTACCTACCGAAACTGAAAAAGCACAGCAGGTAAACCTTTTTCTCTGGGAAGCCTTTCCTTTATACTCCCCAAGAAATTAATTATCATAATTATAGCTCACATGCTGTAATTTTTTTCTAGATATGAACTTATCATAGCTTGGATTTCCCAATATCCAGGAAACCACCTTACATCCTCTGGTATCAAGAATGTAACTTGATTAAGTTTGTCGTCATACTGAACACTTGTAACAACTGAAAGATTCTGTTAGCTCATACCAATTATTTACTAAGTCATTCTCCTGTGGAGGACGGGTTACGAATACCACAGGAAAAATATGCATATTTTCCCGTCGGAAAAGTTACTTGCTTTGAATGAGCAGATAAACAATGACTTCAAGGCAACTGTGTCCTACTTAAAGTGAAAGACATTTCAAGAAAAACATTAATTATATATTACTATTAATATCTGTTTTTACAAAGGAATATTAGGTATTGTGAAAATTACCAACAGGAGATCAAAAATAAAAAGGAACTTTACAAAGAACACTACCTACCAAGTAAGCACTCGTACCATCTTGAAGACTGTATGTGTGTGATATACATCACGGCTGTCATACATATATATGGTTTATAGTATTTCATGGCTTATACTATTTCATTTCCCCTCCTACACACTAATATGGGTTAAGTGGCATGTCACCAATAATCAAGACAAAAGGCATTTTAAATTCTAATTTCATTTAGACAGTAAAAATCACTAAGACAACTATAGTTAACTGGTTTACCTGGGCATCAAACGTGCGTCCAGAATGACAAAGATTATTAGGATCACAAAGTATGAATCCTGGAAGAATCTCCTCCTCTTCAATTCCTTTTAGTCTAATTTTGAGGTTTTCACCTGGGGCCACAGAATCAGTTTCTACATCATCAGAAAGGATTCCAAGAACTTCCACGTTGTGCTTAAAAAGAAACCAAGACCAGAGGTCTTCTAACACATTCACTGCGTTACAGAACATAAAACGACCTCAGAGTTTGCTGAAGAGTTGCAAGTCTCTCTCTCTCTTTTTTATTTTTTGTGGTTGCAGATTAGCCAAAATACTCATTTGAATGTAAATCTTCACTACATTTGTATGACATGAACTTAATGAAAATCAAATATACCAAAATTACAACTGCCAATTAAAGCGTTAAAATATTCTGCAATCTTTTTAATATTACATTCTGATAATTTCCAAACAGAGCATAGTGCAAGCTAGCATTTGCCTTTTTTTACTTTTTCAAAATTAAAACACTAAATTTAACATTTGGATTTTAATTTTATGGATATAATTTTTATTATTATGGAATTTGACAGTTTAATAGACATGCCTTCCAATACATATCAATCCCCAAATACCTGAAGCATGCATTTTGTAAAAGTTATTTTAACAAATAATTTTAAAAAGCATATTGACTTATTTAATGGGTACAGGGCTTCATTTTAGGGTGATGAAAATGTTCTGGAACTGGATACACTATGAATGTACCTGATGTCACCAATGGTAAACTTTATACTGTGTATTTTACCACAATTTTAAAAAGTATATTGTTGGGATAAAATGCTAAAAGCACCACCCTAAGCATTCCCTTATTTTACTCCATTTCTGCCCTCGAAAAAATTAAGATTTTTTAAAACACGTACCAGGAGACAAGACAAAACAAAAACACAGCCCTCAAGACAAACTGAACTAACTCATGATGGTAGATAAATATTGGAGAATCCTGAATCATATTCCATACCAGAATTCTACAAACTGTCACCTGCTAGGCTCTATTAGCCCTCCCAAACAATGTTTTCCTTCCCAAAAGACGGTTTATACCTAAATCGTACCTGTCTGCTGAAATTCATTCCAAGAACTGAAATAGAGCCATACTGTTTAATATGGCTAAATTCTTTACAGTAATGAGATAAAAGGGGTGACACTAGCAGCTCCACGATACCGCATACACATACAACAAGTATTATTTACTACTTCTTGCCCAAATAATACAGCGTAACAATCCCTTCTCCCCAAATATGGCCTTTTATGGTTAAACCATGGAGCCAGTCTAAAGATTAAGTTAATCCACAGTTATCAAAAATTAAGTTTGAGATCAACAAACTCTAAAGTTTATGAAAGGTATTCAAAATGAAAACAAACTATTTTCCATCTCCTCTAGAAATCCAACAAGTAGCTGCACTGGAGCGATTTTAGGTTACATATAAGCAATTTGATAGGGAGAAGTGGTTAATTTTTGCAGAAGATATTTGCAATTGGCTTCACAGATGCCACTATCTTGTCTGAGATGACTGAGGTGTGGTATCCTGTCTACTTTAGCTTTGGACCCAAGTCAGGATCCATATGAACACTCATATTAGTATATAATCTTAAGCATCTGAGTCCACATTCCTAATAATGTAAGAGCTTAAACTTGCAGATTCAGGTATCTCAGCTTTTCTATTTCAGCATGTAAACTCAAAGCCACTGAATTTGTGACTATGAAAGCAAGTTCCATCACACACTGATAATTTTCTATTTTCCTCCATCGCTTGTTCTTTTGCTTCACCTTGCTGCTGTGGTCCAGCACAGGCAGCAGAGGAGAACTGATGCAGGCATGAGAACTGTAGGCTTCCATGAACCATTTTCTAAGAACCAAAAGTTACCCACCTAAAAAAGGTTTTTTTTTTAAAAAAAAGGCTGATTTTTACTGGATTTAATTCTTTTAATGTAAAATAGTCCGACATCTATGTCTTTTAAAATATCTTAGCTCTGGGAGAAAAATGTAGAACAAAATTCAGGTTGACAAAATGACCAGACTTACTGGTCTGACAGATTCTAGAGGAACCCCAGAGACTATGGCCCCTGGACACCCTCCTAACTCAGAACTGAAGCCCCTCCCACAGTTCACCTTTCAGCCAAAGATTAGGCCTATAACACAAACAATAACACACATGAGGAGCATGCTTCTCTTACTTCAATCAAGTATACGAGACCAAATGGGCAACACCTGTCCAGAAGCAAAGATGACAAGACAGGAAGGGAAAGGGAAACTGGACGAATGGACATGGGGAATCCCGGGGTATAAAGGGCAAGGGGGAGAGTGCTGACACTTTACAGGGATTGCAATCAATGTCACAAAACAATTTGTGTATACATTTTTGAATAAGGAATTAATTTGTGCTGTAAACTTTCACCTAAAGCACAATAAAATTAAATATATATTTTATAAATACACATTATGTATTCTACCTCTGTTCCACTAAGACTCAGAACTAAACTGAACTGAGTTTTGAAGGCTGGCCTAACAACTATAGGCTATTCTACATCTGCCCAGTTAGCAGTATAAAGCAACAGCTTCCACAGAGAACACCTACTTCCTCTGTACTAGTATATTAAGGCTGTAGCTATAACTGGGCACTAACTTCACTTGCTCACAGTGAATCACACATTTTTTTACTGTGGTAAAATACATGTAACAAAACATAATTTTTAACCATCTTACAGTATACAATTCCGTGGTATCTAGTATGTAACAATGTTATACAATCATCCCCAATATCTACCAGTTCTAAAACATCATTGCAAAAGGAAATCCTTGAATCCATTAAGCAGCCACTCCGCATTTCCCCCTCCCGATCCACCTTCTGCCTCTGAATGAACCGCACTTCTGTGACCACTCTATAGACAAAAGTGAGCAAGGACTCAAACTGACCGTTATTTTCATTCACTTGCTATCCTTCAATTTGCTGAGCTAATTCCCTTAGAAAAAGTCAGCTTTAAAGTAGAAACACTTTGAACACTTTGGAACAAAGATACTATGTGTGATAGTCTAATCTCCAGTGCTTAAGAGTGTAATTTGTAAGGTGCTAATTATAACTAAACATTATATTGGCAATGGAAACCGTAAGATAAAATTCAAGTTTTCTAATTCACTGTGCCTGGAATAAGCATGGTAAAGAAATTCTCACTTAAATCTAACAAAATCTCTAGCTGAAGGTTCTGATGATTCAGGTCTATTTTCCTACACAAATAACATCTTCAGAGCTGTTGGAGAAGCCCCCTCCCTGGGAAACAGCTGAATAGTTTCTTAGCAACAGGTCATGTGCAGATAGCAGCAAGTGAGCAGTCAGAAATAACACAGGAATAATTCATGTCAAGTTTGCAGGTTTAAATGAAAATTTCCAATGAGGAAGAATTCACAGTAAGATAGGGGAGAAGAAAAGACACATTTAGGGTAAAGGCCAATACTCTGCTTTCAAAACAAATTAAGAGCAGAGCCTGGATATGTCTATTACCCTCCTTGGCCCCCTCCAAAAAAGCTTTATTAAACCATGATTAAACCTGAGTTTTCATCCCTGGCTCTCTTTCTAATCCATTTTGTTAAATGAAGCAAGTCCCTTAACCACTCCAGATCTCTTTTTCCATAAAATAATGAGGTTGAAATTAATAGGTTCTCTTCATGCTGGCATCTTTTAGCTCTAACATGACTAAACAAAGCCTTAACAAGGTGTTAATACTGACCCTCCATTAACCTTTTCTCACTGAATAGCAGTAACACCACATTATATTCTTTCTCAATTTTGAACTTGACATTAATAAAATGTAATACTGAATAATAATTAAAAAAAGACTTAAGTTTCTTTTAATGGAAACCTCTAAACTTTTGAAATTTCTCACTTTTTGCTAATATTTTCAAGAGAAAATTAAGTGAGAAAGAGCATTACTAATTCTTACCTTGTTTGGCATCATCACAAGCTGCTGGCCTTTACAAATAGATCCTGATTCCAGCTTTCCCAGGACCACAGTACCCATATCCTGTTGAAATTAAAAAAAAAAAAAAGAAATCAAGTTTCAGACTTCTATTGGTGTTCTAAAATAGCCCACAGTGAAAATTTGCAAGGCTTACTCATACAGGAAAATCATCAGCTCAAACGGTAGAAGGCTCAGGGTTAATCTTTAATACAGGATAGATAAAAACTGTTTAATTGTTTTGTAGCATATGAAAAATTATAGTATTATTAAATAGGTGTGCCTAAGATTTAAGAAGAAAACATGGTGCAGGAGACAGTACAGAATTTACTGTTGTAAGATCCGAATTACTTGTATAAATTTAGGCTCTCTCAATTGCTGAGCCTGTTTCCTCACATATAGAGTGGAAAAACAATACCTGTTCAAGACGTTTACCACAGAACTGGTGGAAGAATGAGGTATTTATACAAAGCAAAACATTATATAAATTGGTATTGCAAAACTTTAAAAAGTTGAAAATACAGTTTAAAAAATGAGGTTTTTTTAAATAAATAATATCCAATGTTGGTGAGGCTGTGGTAAAACTCACATATACTACTGAAACCCATTAAAAAACCCAAAACCCATTGCTGTAGAGTCAATTCCAACTCATAGCAACCCTATAGAACAGAGCAGAACTGCCCCAGAGGGTTTCCAGGAGCAGCTGGTGGATTTCGAACTGCTGACTTTTTGGTTAGCAGCCAAGCTCTTAACCGCTGTGCCACCAGGGCTCCATGGTAATAATATAAATTAAAGCAGTATTTTTGAAAAGCTATTTGTCAATATCCAACTTTTTTTCCCTGCCATTTTTTTTTAATTGTAGTTTAGATGAAGGTTTACAGAACAAACTAGTTTCTCATTAAACAGTTAGTACACATATTGTTTTATGACATTGGTTAACAACCCCACGACACGTCAACACTTTCCCTTCTTGACCTTGGGTTCCCTATTACCAGCTTTCCTGTCCCCTCCTGCCTTCTTGTCCTTGCTCTGGGCTGATGTGCCTCCATTAGTCTCATTTTGTTTTATTGGCCTGTCTAATGTTTGACTGAAGGGTGAACCTCAAGAGTGACTTCATTACTGAGTTAAAAGGGTGTCTACAGGCCATACTCTCAGAGTTTTCTAGTCTGTCAGGCCAGAAGTCTGGTCTTTTTTTGTGAGTCAAAATTTTGTTCTACATTTTTCTCCAGCTCTGTCCAGGATCTTCTATATTGTGATCCCTGTCAGAGCAGTGGGTGGTGGTAGCTGGGCACCATCTACTTGTACTGGACTCAGTCTGGTGGTCAGTATCCAACTTTAATGTGCAAACCTTTGGGTCTAGCAGTTTCATTTGTCTGAGTTTTATCTTTCGTACATGATCACAATCTCACTGGGAAGTAACTGATATAACTAAACTGGTTGAGTAAATTCTGATCTTCTATACCACTAAATAATATGCAACCATTAAAAAAATCTGTTATGTTGTTAATAAGGTTTTGTTTCTTAATTAAAAACAAACACAATGATCCCACCTCCCCTAAAACCCAACTTCAGTATTTTTGGGTACCTTGTACTTATCCACAATTGGCAGTCTGATTGGTCCATCAACTGATCTATTGAAGTTTGGCAAATTATCCAGATATGGAATAAATGGTAATCCACTAAGAACATAACAATATCAATTAAAGTCAACATAAATATCAGTATTTTAAGTTACATGAACCTATAACTTTATATAAAAACTTGGTTAAAACAATATTTTCATTCTACCCATGTACTCTCTTCTCATTCAACCAATTTATTATCCATTGCATCTCATTTATTCCTCAGAAAACTAAAAATATATAACAAAACAGGTCAGTATAATGAAAAGGCTTCCCTGTAAACTTAGGTGATTAAGATTCAGAAAAATATTTAGAGCAAATAGCCCACATATTGCGATAAAATGACTACACTGTAATAGTTAACTTTTATGGACTTCTCTAGCTCAGATATTGAGATTCCACAAAAGAATTTCATCTTTCAAGCTTAACACATGGATTGGGAAAAAAAAAAAACCATTGCCGTAGAGTTGATTCCAACTCATAGCGACCCTATAGAACAGAGTAGAACTGCCCCATAGGGTTTCCAGGAGCAGCTGGTGGATTTTGAACTGCCGACCTTGTGGTTAGCAGCCAAGCTCTTAACCGTTGCACTACCAGGGCTCCAAAAACACATAGAAGACTTACTATTGTTAAAGTGGCAACACAGGTAGTCCCCAACTTATTACGGGGTTCCATTCCAACAACTACTCAATTGTCAGTTCTGACGTTTAAGTTATTCTTATTATTTTTTTAATTTTCATTATTATTGCCTTTTATTATTAGTATCTTTATAGGTCTGATCTTTATTTGTCTTTGGTTGGGAGTTGGAAATCTTACATCTGAGAATGATAACATCAGCAAATTGCATGCTGCGACATTGTACGTAGTACATATTACTAACGATAAGATGTACAAAAAAAAAAGACAGTCATTAAGTACGGTTTGTTGTAACTTGAATATGTTTTTAAGTTGGGACTACCTGTACTCTCAAAATTGATCTACAGAGTCAATGCAATTCCTATCAAAATCCCAGCTGCCTTTTTTGTAGAAACTGACAGGGTGATCATAAAATTCATATAGAAATTCAAGGAACCCAGAATAGCCAAAACAATCTTGAAAAAGAACAAAGTTGGAGGACTCAAACTTCCTGATTTCAAAACTTAATACAAAGTGACAGTAATCAAGACTGTGTGGTACTGGCCTAACAGACAATATAGATCAATGGAATACAATCAAGAATCTGAAACTCTGATGTTTATAGTCATCTGATTTTCAACAAGGGTGCCAAAGGACAATTCAACAAGGAAAGAATAGTGTTTTCAACAAACGCTGCCCGAATAATTGGACACCCATATGCAAAAAATAAAAATAAAAGGGAACCTAAACACAGACCTTACACCTTACAAAAAAATTAACTGAAAATGGATCAAAGACCAAATCTAAGACACTTAGAAGAAAACAGGAATAAATGTCCATAACCTTGGATAGGTAATGTTTTTGTAAATACAACACTAGAAGCACAAGCAACAAAAGAAAAAATAAATTGGACCTCATCAAAATTACAAAACTTTTGTGCTTCAAAGGACACTATCAAGAAAATGAAAAGGCAACCCACAGAATGGGAGTAAATACTTGTAAATCATGTATCTGATAAGGGACTTGTATCCAGAATATATGAAGAACTCTTACAATTCAATAATCAAAAGACAATTAACCCACTAAAAAACGGGCAAAGGTCTTGATATTTTTAAAGCCAAAGTTACAGTCCCTATTTTCTTAAATTACTCTTAAGACATGTTTTTTTTTTGTTTTGTTTTTTTTTAACTCAAAGGAGGAAAAGGTTACTTACCTGTACCAAGGACAGAAATCTGATTGCTCTTTAAGATTTGCTCCAGTCAGTCCTGAACAGGGCATAAAGTGAATGTCCTTTTTGGGATTGAAGCCAACTTTCTTCAAAAATGGTACTAGTTTCTCTTTACATTCTTCATATCTATGAATATTTATAAATAATCCAATTATAATGCAAAGCAGTTAAACTCAAGGTTTAGAAAAACCCTAGAGGAAAAAGGCATACCATAACAAAACCATCCTTCATTCCACTAACCTGTCTGTATATAAAGGAAAAAAAAAACAAACAGTAAAATATCTAAGCTTACCTCTCATTGCTCCAATTTACTGTTGGATCATCCATCTTATTAATAAGTACAATTAAGTGTTTCACACCTGCCGTCTTCGCCAACATTGCATGTTCTCTTGTCTGTCCTCCTTTTTCAAATCCAGTTTCAAACTCTCCTTTCCTGGCAGAGATTACCTATTGCAAGTAATCAAATAGTGTATTCTTATACATTCAGGTATACCTCTACAGCAGGTAAAACATCTTTTCTTTTAGTTACATCAGAAGCTTTTTGCAAGAAAATACAAAGTTATTTATAAAACATGCTTTTGAACATCACAAACCAAACAATATCTAAGTGTTTTAACGTTTTGGCAAACATTTCTTCCAATCCCCCTACTTTCAAATCTAGCATACCTATATGTTTTATAGTTCAAACACTAAGGAGATCTACTGCCAGTACATTGTCAAAATCACAAAATGACTGAAGGCCTAAAAAAACAGTTTCTTATTCTCTTTGTATCCGTATTACCTAATGCTGGGCTTGGCATTTAGTAGACACTAAATTCTGACACAGCAATGGATAATAATAGGTTAGAAAGCAATGAGAGAAAAGTTGAAGCATACTTTCATAAGTAAATCAAATTATAACGATTTCTTGAGTAGTTAGTGAAACAAAAGTGCAAATTGTGACTATGAACATTATTATCGCTCACTGCAACCTGAATTCTAGCTTTTAGAAGATAAATTCAAATATTTGAAACTCAAGTGAGGCTTCTAACAAATACACAGGTAGAATGAAAATATTTTTCTTACCAGTACAGCCAAATCAGCTTGAGAAGCACCACCAATCATATTTGGGACAAAACTCTTGTGGCCAGGGGCATCTAGAATTGTGAAATGCTTCTTTTCTGTTTCAAAATAGGCACGACCCACTTCTACTGTTTTACCCTTGTCTCGTTCTTCCTGATTTGTGTCTAAGGCCCAAGACAAGTACCTGAAAGAATTTAAAGATAAGAACAATACTGCTAAAACATGAGTTCTAGAGATATTCTTCTACAATTAAAGGTATAAATGATGACACCCAGCTTTCCATCTGTTATACAACATCTAAATTATGAACAGAACTGTATAGAAATAAAAATTAAGAGAATAAAACTGTATTATGATTCACATACTTGGAGCTTTTATATATATACAGTCAATTCTATAAGCAATTATTTATGAAAACAAGCTGATAATGTGCACAGAAAGACAACCAATGCCAGTACCACTGAATTCAGTAAATAAAGTTTATTTTTGTATTTTTATAATAATCTGGCACAAGGTGTAACACAAATATTGGCTGTCCAGGGATAATTAAAAGTGAAAGCCACTAACCTATCACTTGGGAGCAATGGTTACCTGCTAAAAATTATTTCAATATTACTCTCCCAGATACAAATTATTCATTTTAAATTCATACCATCTACAATGGTAAACATTTATTTAGATTACCTCATCATCTATATTCCATTGTATGTAATCCCTTTTTTTTTTTTTTTACTGTAACACTGATTAGATTTTTTCCCTTAACACAGAGGAACACAAATCAAAAAAAAAAAAAAAACAAATAAAAGCCCATCAATGTCCCCTCCAGATAAGGCTTGCTAATTTTTAAAAAACAAAAGTAATAAATAGATAAGGTTAGAAAGCAGAAAAAAGTTGACCCTTTCTCTCACCAATATTTTTAACATTTTTATTTTCCATTCTTTTTTCTTTCTGGTGTTTATTCACAGTCAATGATCATGATTGTACTTTTTTCCCCCACCAACACTAGTGTAACATAAGTTCTAGTCCTGGTTATTATAAATTCTATAAATATAATTTTTAGTGGTTATATAATGACCCGATTAAATGGATATTTTATAATTTATTCAACAAGTCTCCTGTTACTGGACATTTGGGATTGTTTCCAAATTTTCTCTGTATAAGTTATGAAGTAATTAGGAATTGATCTACTCTATTATAAATGAGGGGGGAAAAGCTTTACCTTTGTTGTAACACCATTTTAGATCTCAAGAACTTACATTTTAATAGACTATGAAAGCATTAAGGAGGCAGGGTTTCCTGAAAGTAAATTTATATTGTCATAAAAGTTTACTATACCAAGTTTCTCTGTTTTTTTCTTTAGCTTCTCTTTCATATTTCTCAAGTGTTCTTTTGTCAACCATTCCAGTCAAATACCTGAAAAAGTAAAAAAAAAAAAAAAATTAAACACTCATAAATTCCTCAGTGAAGTCAGGAAAACTTTAAAGCTTTCAAGGGGAATTTTGACTCAAAAAAAAAAAAAAAAAAAAACAGCTATCTTAAAAAGTAAATGTACCAGCGATGGATGCTAAAATCATGGATGAAAGTTTGAGGGGAAAATAGGTATTTGCAGTCTCAAAATATCTCCCCCAAGATAAAGAGAAAAAAATAGTAACTTTACAGTGGAGAAACCTGACAGATAACACCTTAAACAAGTTGTTGCGTGCCACTGAGTCAATTCCAATTCACAGGAACCCTATATGAGAGTAGTAGTACTGCCCCATAGGGTTTCCTAGACTGTAATTTTTACAGGAGCAGATTGCCAGGTCATTTCTCCCATGGAGCTGCTGGTGGGTTCCAACTGCTGACCTTTAGGTTAGCAGCTGAGCACTTAATCATTGTGCCACTCTAACCAAGTAATCACAATTAATATCACCAGTAATAAGTAAATCATATTGAATACTGACATCATGTACCCCGACAGGATGCACTGAGGAGGGCACAACATCCCTTCTGTGGTATTCTTGCCCAAAATGCACAATCTCAATCTAATTGTGAGAAAACAACTTAATTCCAAATTGAAGGATATTGTCTAAAATAATTGAACAGTACTCTTCAAATCATCAAGGTCGTGAAAGATACAAAAAGACTAGAACAAGTCACAGACTGGAGGAAACTAGAGAGACATAACAACTAAATGCAGTATTAAGTTCTGGAACAGAAAAAGGACATTAGCAGGGAAATTCAAGTGCAAATACCATTTGTAGCTTAGTTAATAACAGTATCGTACTAATGTTAATTTCTTAGTTTTGAAGACTGTATTATGGTTATGAAACACGTTAACATTAGAACAAGCTGAGTGAAAGGAATATGGAAACTACTATTTTTAAAAACTTTTTGTAAGTCTTCAGAATGAATGTTTTTTTTAAGTAAATGAAAATGCTATATCAAAGGGGGATGGGAGGAGCAACACTGTTTTCCAGGCAATGAAGTCTACTATTATATTTCAGTATTTTAAAAATATTACTTGTCAAAGTGAGATTTAATTTTAAAATAAATTTTTTAGCAATGCCTAACTGCTTCCCTTAACTCAATCCAAATCAAAGCCTTCCTCCTCCTAGCATTGGTCTTTACGTACTCTCTGTGTAGTCACCTGTACAGCAGTGCTCCTAACCCTTTGAGTGTAGAACCCCAGTGAATGCCAATGAAAGTTACACTCCCATCAGCAAAAAAAAAAAAATACATTCTCATTAAACAGACTATCAAGTGGGCCCCACACTTCCATCCATGGTTAAGGATCTCTGTTTAAGAGCCTGATTGAGGGTCCCTGTTACAGAAATTTTCAGAAGTGAGTAATGGGCAAGATTACCAATTGAGATTATTTAAGTAGGCAAGACAACGATGATTAGCCCTCTGATGACGAAGTTTAAAGACTAGGTCTAATTTAGAGGGGCGATTAAAATTTAGGGCCTTTTTTAATCATAAAGATTTCTTGATACCAGAATGCATTAATAAAGACCAACCACAATATTTTCATACCTAGATAGCTTCTTTAACATGGTAAAAATTTATCTTAGCATGTTAGCCAGACTATCTGTCTTTGATTAAATCCATATAAATGGAAGGAGCTGATAAACGGGGGTAAAAAGCCCCCCACCCATCAGATTCAAGAGCTGGTTTTCATTATTCCCAAGTGAATTATATTCAAAGCAGACTAAGATTTCCTGTAACCTAGGTTCTGCATTATTATTATTTAATCTAAAAGACAGCTTTCAGAAACAATGTGCTGTGAGAGTCGGATAGAGATAGCAAACAAATTTTTTGGAAGCCCTAAAATCCATTAGAAAATACTAAGAATAATCACATGGCAAAAATTACTTCTTAAGATCATCCTTCTCTAAAGGGAATGCCATTTTACTGTTAATTTTTCTTAACTCCTTTATGTGAATGTTTACAATGACTAAAACTCCACTGAATCGTTAACTCCCTACCATTTTATTATTTAACAAAAGATACTTACATTATTTGTCCTCCAATGGTTGACTTGCCGGCATCTAAAGTAACAACAATATGCAAACCATAGGTTAAAAACAAACAAGGAAACGAACAAAAAATAACTCTGCTACATACACTAACACAACTAAAGGTACCTTTTAGCATATATAATTAAATCTTGCAAAAGCAATTGAGCTATAGGGATTTTGGGCATAAACCCTAGTTAGTTACCTTTTGCCTTGGAAAATGAGGCTACCGAGACAGCTATGGTTCAATAATAATTTAGAAATACTTTACAGATAAAGTAAAAACATAATTTTTGGAAAGATCACTCCCTGAGCTTCAACTATCAGCACAGCAGCAACAGAATGTAAATTTCCCAAGGGGAGATTTGGAGAACAAAAGTAGCTAAAGAGCTGTGAACTGCATTTAGATATTCTTCCTTTTACTTTTAGCGAACAGGATAGGTATTCTTTTATAAACTTCAAAGAAGTTCTTGCTACTAAATAGGTAGCATGATATATCATCATATTCAGTGGGAAGGCAGAGATAGAAGGAAAAACAAAAGCATGTAATTCTATATTTTCTTAAAATTTTAAGGATATGTTAGATGATAAAGAATACCTGAATAAATTAAATAGGTTCTTCTTCCCTAAACCAGCAAATGTGACAAGCATCCAGAAGTTACTCCAAGTGATTAATTTCTTACTTTACACAAAATTAAGCTACCTAATAAGGTTAATCCCCTAAAATTAACAGAAGTTCACACAGAAAAATAGGCATATTTTCGAGGGTATTAACAGATATCAGAATATGCTGTACTATCATCAGTGGTCTACAGACTATAATGTATTATGTACAAATACACTGAAGCTTATTTTCTTCAGCTTCCATGCCATTACAAAATCGTTCATCTGCCCAACCTTCAAGAACAAAAGTATTGGCTATTTTTTGCCAGGTGAAAAATCTAGCAAGTTAAAAAAAAAAGCATTTTATATCTGATGGGAGCCACAGACAGAATCTATATTGTTCTTACTGAAACACAGCATGGTTAACATTAAACTTAAAAACAAACAAACGAAAAAGGCCTTTTAGATTCAGTTTGGCTCCACTAAACATCCCCAAGTAGCTAAATAAGATATCTATGTTTTATGTATCCAGTAACTTCTGTCATTTCTCATAATTGCTATGAGTACAACTTACCTACATGCCCAATGAATACTACATTTACATGTTCTTTTTTAGGAGCGCCTGGCGGTGCAACCACAGATTTAGGTTTTGGTATTTCCTCTTCCTCCTCCATCATTTCTTGGGCATTCTCCTCTGGGGGCCTTCCATCTCCCAAGGACCCGCCCCCTGGCTCTGCTTCACTTATTTCTTCTTTGTGCTCCCATGATTCTTCTGGAGACATTTCTGTTTCCCCATTTTCTACTGAAATAAAAGATTTTAACTCAGTATTCTGGAAGAGATTTATAACCTATACTTTAAAATACAGATGCTTCTAAACGACAAGTGGAACCTTACATATTCAGCTCCATTTCCTAATGTTCAGTGACATGTAAGCAGGAACATCCCTTTCCGAATAGAATTGGATAACAGCTTTCAAGCTGGCTTTGCTGCTGACATCGGAGAGCTCTCAGAGACTATGATTGCTATTTTAACAAAGCTTCGTTTTCACAAGGACAAACAAAATGTAAACAAGAGATCTAACATTCCTAACAGCCCAGTTATTCCAGTGCCAAGATGCCCTGACAGTGGAAGAAACGGAAAGTTTAAAATAAAGCATAGGAAAAGTCTGAAAGGATTTAGAAGACAGCTTTTTTCTCCCCTCTTCAAGTAATCTCACTTTGGTGTCAACTTTTCACAGAGGATATGGAACAATACTACTATTTAAGTTGACTTTAGCAGTCCTCCACTCATTTCCATTATTTTTGCAATCACTAAATTTATCACAGCAGTGTTTATACCCAATTTGCTGTTTTCTAAATCTGGATAGCAGAGACTCAATGTCAGTCTTAAATGTAGGCATTATAATAACCGTAACACTTACATTTACACTTTAAATCTTGAGTGAAAGAGTTTCACATTACTGTATTAATATGGTCAGAAATTTTCTTACCAACAGGTTCTGAAAGTTCCATGCTAACAGCTGAATTTGAACCTAGACAAGAAATTGAGATATAATGTGTATTTACAAAACAGTATCTAGCTTTATACATCACAGACAACATGTTTTCTCAATTAGATTTTTAAAGTCACATCACAGAAAATTACCTTCACACAACGACTGTTCCTCTTGAGAAGGTTCCACAGGTGCTGTTTAAATAGAAATAAGTTCTACAATTAAAAATTGAGACCTATATGTCCCTTTATCTTAACAGCAAAAACAGAAGTTGTTAAAATACAAAACCTCAATAGTTCAGACCAATGGCAACTAAGTACGAGTTTCAAACTAGAAGTCTGTTTAATCTACTTTTAAAAATCCATCAATTATAGTCAGTTTTAAAATACTTTCAGTAATTGAAATGGGTTCATACAATCATGCTTATTCTCTTGATTTACTCTGTAAACCTTTCCTTCACAGATACTGTAAAAGTAATCTGCAGCCTAGCACAGGTCAAATTTGTAAAACGCATCTATTTCTCCAGATGCTCTCTTGGTAACCCTCTAGCCCAAGGCTATGATTAGCCCTTTTTAAGAGTCCATGAACATGTTATTATCAAGATCTCTGAATAACTTAAATCTGATATCATGAAATAAACATTTGTATAAAGTCCGTGAAATGCATATAGGCCCTTACAACGTGCAGAAAAGATGATTCCATTGATGCAGTTTTGTCATTTACTAGAAATTTAAGATTAACCAACGGTCCAACTGCAAATCCACTTATGGCAAATCTACTCATGACGCAAGAAATATATTCTGATATCCAAATACGTGTCTGTTTTTTACATCTGATAAATCTAAATGATACTCCAATATGAAAGTGCCCTTGCTTTAAAAAATCTCCAAGATGCAAAGAGACAAAAGATTTGGAGTCACATGAAACATGCAGAGCAAGTAATAAATAATGAATTCATAACTCATAAAACTCATCTTTAAAATTACTGCCCACAAAGTATTAACACCTATAAGAGTCAAGAGAAATTTGGGCTCAATTTGTAATAGCATGAAGTGGTGAGGAAAGTAATTTCTTATCCCTACCTAACAGGTAAAGGGCAACCAACTTTTTTATTTTATTTTTTTTGAGCAGAGAACTGACATGCTCAGCGTGTCCAATAGAAAGATCATTCTAATGTAGTGTGTAGAGGAACTAGAGTGGGAAAGACACTACAGGCAAGAAGACCAACACCACTACTCCAAGAAAGCATGCCATTAGGACAAGGGTGCAGTAGAACAGAGAGGAGAGCTCAAGTGCAAAAGATAACAGAAGCAAAATTTGACAGGAGAGAGGAAGGGTGAAAGGTTTAAAATGACTCCAACCTATGTGCTTAGCAGGATATTAACAGAATCTGGGGAAAAAATAATTTGGACCGGGTTTAAAAGGGAACAAGAATTATACTTTAGACATAATATAACTTTTTTTTTTCTGAGCCGTGCTGGCACAGTGGTTAAGAGCCAAAAGGTCGGCAGTGCGAATCAACCAGCTGCTCCTTGGAAACCCTGTGGGGCAGTTCTACTCTGTCCTGTAGGGTCACTATGAGTTGGAATTGACTTGACGGCAAGGGGTTAACCTTTTTTCCTTTTCCTCTTTCAAAGAAAAGTTTAAGGGTAAGGTAAAGGGGAAAAAATATTCAATTTTCAGAAAGTGAGGCATTGCTAAGTGAATCAATTTCATATATGCCATCCCATCAGTGTAGGAGGCAGCACAGAGTAGTGGTTAAAACCAAAAAACCCATTGCCATCAAGTGGATTCCAACTCATAGCAACCCTACAGGACAGGGTAGAACTGCCCTATAGAGTTTCCAAGGGGCGCCTGGTGGATTCTAACTGCTGCTCTTTTGGTTGGGAGCCCTAGCACTTAACCACTATGCCACCAGAGTAGTGGTAGGAGCCTAGAAATGACTCTTGGGTTTAAATCCTACCTTGTCATTTACAAGTTTCGAAATGTAGCTCTTTCATCTGAATTATGGAGATAATAAGACATCTACCTGACAGGATTGCTGACAGGATTAAATGAAAGAATACACTTGCTTAGTGTCAAATAACTCCTCACACCTAGCCGATATTCAACAAAGGATAGTCTTCACCACCTAACATGTATTGAGTTCTATCTTATTATAGGCCAGATGGGGAAAGAAAGCACAGGTCCATATAGTGTTGGGGGTGGAGGGTAAGAGTAGCAAATTACAACTAACTTTTATTGGGATGTCCCTGGGTGGAACAGTTAAGCACTTGACTGCTAGCCAAAAGGTTGGCAGTTAGAACCCACCCAGAAGCTCCTCAGAAGACACAGGCCTGGCAATCTGTTTCTAAAAGGTCACAGCCTTGAAAACCCTATGGAGCAGTTCTACTCTGCACACATGGGGTTGCCATGAGTCCAACTGACCTGATGGCAACTAACAACAATTCTTATCAAGCCCTTATGTGCTGGTGGCTATCTAATTTAACCCCTGAAATCTTTTGAAATAGATACTGTTATTACCGTCTAACATATGAGCATATCAGAATCGACTGTGGGCTTGTCCAAGTTGTATAAATGCCACCTTGCCCTTTCTGATACAGCCCCTGTTGAAAACCAATGTAATAGTATACTAAGTTATGATGTACCATTTGGATGTACCAAGTACTTTAAAGCAGAAAAAAGACTGAAACGACTGGTATGGTTGGCTTCCTCCTCATTTAATAAGATATCCCTAACTGTAACTGAGCCTTTCAAAACCAAATAGTATGTATACCTGACCACCTAGTTCCTTAAACCAACTCTCAGATTTGCAAACATACTGTATGCATAAAGCTGTAAGGCACTTCTCAGGATAGTGACATCTGTCATAAGACCATAACGTAGCATAATGAAAACCTGGTCACAGTTTTATTTTTCAAAATGTCCTACATTTATAATATGTTTGTCTTAAGATTGTAAAGCTTACAGAGGCAGACAGTGTCAGAGACCAAAAGCAATGAAATGCTTAATATACATGTGATGATAGTGATATTAACAGGCCCAAGATAAGAAGACCATAGTCTCACCATGGTGGAAAAAAGCTTTCTGTGAAACATTCAGGCCACTGATCTCATTATAAACCCAATGGCAATACTGGTGACATCTGTGAACCAATGTTTTTGGAATAATAAACAAGGAAAATCACAGATATAACAAGATGTCTTCCAGTCCTCACACATGAACAAACAACCTTTATTTGCTCATTCTAGTCAGCTATTATCCATAATACATATGATATCTAGATTTTACTGGCTATTAATGAGCCTGGGCTTAGAATTCTACTAAGCTCATGTCATGGTTAGAAAATAGACCACTATTCGGGCTTGATTTTTTTCAAGTCCTGCACAATTCACATATGTTAGTAAAAGAGAAATTGGAAAATCTCCCAAGGAATAAAATTATAGTTTCATATTTTCCAATGTTATCTCCAGGTTCAGAAGTGCACCCTTATCAAGTATTCAAAAAAGAACAATTCTAGTAAGTGGGAAAGTTGTCAGAATACCAGTGAATACAAGTGCCATACCCAAACTTAAAAGGAGAATCTAGTACTATAATTTCTGATAAAGGAAGATTAATGAACTGGCTGTGATACTAGGTACATTACCACCAATTTTAAAACAAGAAGTGGAAAGATTTCACCAGAAGACAGGCAACAGCACTAGCTATGGTTTAACACACATGATGATCCGGGTCTTGAAATTATTACTTAATATTTGATCAAGGTGAAAGAAGCTAGGCACTGGAAAATTGGATTTCCACATGCAGAAAAATGAAACAGGATCCATGCCTCACATAAAAACAAATTCAAAATGGATCAAGGACCTAAATGTGCAAACTAGAGCCATAAAATTCTTAGAAGTCGAGGCTACCTTTCAACAACTTTATCAAAAAAAGTGAAAAGACAA